GAGACTGAAGCAGCTTGTTGTTACTGACCTGTAGATCATGTCTTCAGAGCTCCACCAAGAGAAATGTTCTGCTGTTTCACTGTTGGGTTTATCTACAACCAGTGTTTGTGGCGTGCTGCACAGAACCGGGTCGTGTGGCTTCATGTCTGCAGCCAAGGCCTGCTCCTCCGAGTGCAGCAGCTCTCCACATCCTCTTTGATCAGAGAGCAGGACAGAAGGACATGATTCTGCTTTGTCCTCCTGCTGTTGTTTTGTTGTGCTGGAGCCTTTCATAGCGGATTACCAAACCTGTTCATGTGATAAGATGTTTTCTGTAAAGAACCCCAAATACGACATCAGCAACGATCCTCCATGTTTGTCACGGTCCCTAAGAGGGGAGGCTGAGGAGTGAACGTTTGGCAAAAACACTTGTCTGTTCATGGTTTGTGCCCCTCACCCTCCTGCCCGTGCGTCACAATGACCCACAAATCTTCAGTTTGAAGAGTGAGGCCTCGTGGGTCGTGCTGACCCAAAGGTAGCAGGAGGGCTACATGTCCATAAATGTCACACGTGCACAGCAGAAGCTGCACTGCTGCAATCATCTTGTTGAACACTCCTGTTCTCAGTTTCCCAGATGTAGCAAACACGTCCCACAGGAACAAGTGAGTAGACCCAGACGATCCAAGCAGCTCAAGATGAATCAGAACCGTCAAGAAAGGGTTCTTCTCACTAAGGATCCAGAGCAAACATCTGTCTAGAGGTGACGAACAGCTGCAAGGGGATTAGCAGTCGTACTGTCGTTAAAGACGAGCCGTGTTCAAATTAAACACGCGTGTCACTGAGGAGGACTCACTGTGCCAACCCCTGAAAAAGCTGATGTGTGTGTGCGTGTGTGTGCGTGTGTGTGTGTGTGTGATATTGCACATGAAGGCATGAGCCTAGATTATGATCCTGCCAGTGTAACAACCTTCAGCAAAAGTAGCAGATCCTGGTGTTAAAGTTGAAAATGATTTATTTGCTTTTATTTTAAAACAAAAATGAATTTATTATGACTTTTACTGCCCAAATGATGTAGTTTTTACTTATGATCATTTTATAGATGTAATACTTGTCGCATGTTGCTCTGCAGAGCGAGCACATGAAACACGGCTCGCTGCTCCATGTGACCGAACAGAGACGAACAACGGTTTAATGGGAACGAATGGTTTGATGGAAGTCTTTACTTATGTTGACACTGGTGTACCCTGAAACCAGTAATCAGCTCAAGCACATGTGAAATATCCGAGCTGAGTCGCTGGCAGCTTAGAAAGCTACAGGGTTGAGAACAAGAGTCAGGACTTGAGTGCATTGTGATAAAAAGTGACAAACATCAAACCTGGCCTTGTGCACAGGTAGGAGTAGAAGCCCTCAGACTTGAGCATGATGAGCAGGGACGACCAGCCGAGCAGCACCGCAGAGAAAAACAGATTCTCAACCACTGCTGTGACAGCCATCCACCAGCGACGGGAAAAGGCCGTGGCCAGGGTGGGAGCCATCTCTGCTGGGGTGGGTGTACTGGTGTACTGGTCCAAACGGATGTGAGGGAGGCTGCTGGCACCTTGAACACAAGAAGGGAGAAGAAATAAAACCAGCCGTAAGGTCCTGGTGTTCCCTGCATATGATGACATCAGAGTTAAGGCTGTTCACTCACCGTCATTAAACTACTTTACATCTTTTAACTTAACACATACTGACATGTGCTGCAATAATAATAATAAAATTAATTTCACCTTCCAACAACGCCTTGTATTGGCCATGGGGCTTTACAAGATAAAACAAATAAAAACAGGGCACAATGTGACAACTGACAGAACAGATAGCATTTGGTTCATTTTGTATTAAAGTCGCTTTAAGTATGTGAAGACTGTATACCTATGATAGTCATTTAAATAATAAACCTCAAGCTGCTTGACTTTTCAATAAAGAGTTCTGGGTGACTTTGAGGAAGAACCACATCCAGCTCTTTGTTCTGGGCCTGAAGATGAACAGGAGACAAGCGAAACAAACAACTAAACCACGCCTCCAAGCTGCCATAAGCCCGCCTACTCAAACATGATTGGCTGGGAGGTTCAGAACTCTTTTCTTATTGGCTACTGGTGACGTCGCTTGAAGCTGCTACACGTGAGGATGTTGATGCATTTCAGAGCTGTGGGGAAAGACTGCAGACAAATGACTTTACCGGAAGTACATGTCGACATGAGTACATTTAGCGGGAAAACAAGTTCTTTTTGTTGTTTGTTTTTGAACAACACACATTCTCAAATTAGTTTAGCAATACCTTTTAAATTTTCTTTCTTAAAGCTTCAAAAGCGTGACCTCAGTTTAATATATTAAAACATATCCCACCGCAGCTGTTATTTAGAGTGAAATAAAAAAATTAATGTGCGCGAATAAAACGAGCACATTGACCTTTTACTAAAAATAAAACAAAGTGTAAAACAAGTCCAAATAAATGTGCTTAAACAACAGAACAAGCCTTGTTTACTGAAAACAGTGCTGCACGTGAATGCAGCACAAACTCAATCCAGTTTGAACCAGTGCGGCGCGAGAGCAGCGCGAGCGGCGGCGGCTCTCAGAAGATGCTGCGAGCTCCTCTGGACCGGAAATGTATTTGCACATAATTAAGGTTTACAAGTTGTACAGGTAAATCTGGCAGCTCGTTCCTCATACAAACAGGATGAGTGACAAGTTTAACCTGTGCATTACTTCAAGGAATGCATGTCGCCCGCCGCACTTGATGGCAGAGATCACCCTCAGAGTGAGTGTTGAGGAGGACCCTCAGCTACCACATTAAATTACACTCACTATCCGGCAAACTGATTTAAGGCTGAGCTGCTGTCATCTTCCATCTGTTTGACTCTAAAGATAGATCCAGCTTTTATTTACACGAAGTTTTATTCAAATTTATTCCTGAGATATTTTGCTAACAGACGCAGAGACGATTGTTCAAAACGTTTAATTCTGTTTTGTTGAGGCTCTGAGAGCAGCTGCAACTGGTCTGAACTGGACTAAAAGCATCTGCACACAACACCCCCACCCCTCCTCCACCCTCCTCCAGAACTGCGCATCAAAAAAACAAAAAAAAAAACCACCGGCAAGGTGGATCGTTTCAAAATAAAAGACC